AGCTAATGATGACTTGGTGAAGCCAATTGTCCTGGAGGAGATGCAAAGTGTTCTCAAACAGATGCGGGGTTCGGCTCCCGGTGTAGACCGCATCAAGCCAGCCGATATTTCAAGGACGGATCCCTACTTTGTAACTTCTTTGCTCAACTGTCTTCTTGCTTCCTACCCATTTCCCATCCACATGAACACTGCTCAGATCACCTTCGTACCAAAAGTTTCCCAGCCCATCTCCCCTGACCAATTCCGTCCAATCGCAGTTTCATCTGTCTTCACACGCCTTCTTCATCGTATCCTCTTTGATCGTTGGGTTCCTACTTTCCCTACCGACCGCCTTCAATTTGGTTTTCTTCGTAAAGATGGCGCTTTCGAAGCCCCGTCCATACTCCATGCTGCTCTTCGCCATTCTCATTCTTCTCGTACCCCCCTTTCATTAGCGGCAATGGATATCTCGAAGGCGTTCGATTCCATTTCTCATCACTCCTTACTTCGAGCAGCAGCTGCTTTCGGAGCCCCCCCCCCCCGCTATTATTAGATTACTTGGCATCGTATTACAGCTCCGCGTCCTCAACCTTTAATGATGTCAAGCTTCATCCTGATAGAGAGGTTCGGCAAGGAGATCCGCTTTCGCCTTTGCTCTTCATAATGCCCCTAGATGAAGTTTTACACGGAGTCGCCACTACGCCTTGGATATCACCGGCTGGCCCGATTGAGTACCTCGCTTACGCGGACGACGTGCTCAAGACCGCATTTCTCTGGGAGATCACCTTCAGCGATTCCATCAACGACTGCAGTGCATCGGCCTCAACATCAACCATCTAAAATCTTTCTCGGTAAATATAATTGTTGATGGCGCTCGCAAACGAACCATACTGGATACGCATGCTTTGGACTGTGATCCTATTTTTATTCCCTCCATTCAGCCCGATGAAAAGTTCAAGATGTTGGGCCTGCCTTTTAACTGGAAAGGTAAGCTCCCTCCAACAGTAATCGACGATATTACTGTGCAACTTAACGAAGTTACCAAGGCACCGCTTAAACCACAACAATGACTTGAGATTCTGAGGACCTATCTGCTCCCCAAGCATGTTCATCAGTTAGCACTGGCAGTGGTTCACCGGAATACATTGAAACGGTTGGATCGCATTGTCAGATCACACGTCAGAAAATGGCTGCACTTGCCGTCAGACACCTCCATTGCATATCTTCACGCTCCCATTGCGAGCTTTGGTTTGGGTATTCCGTGTCTGTCAACGAGTATTCCCCTGCTACGGAAGGAGAGGCTGGAACGACACCTAGCCAACTGCCATCCAGTGACCAGTTGGGCGATCCGAGACCCTGCAGCCGCTGCCATCCATCGTCTAGCGCGCTCCACTGTTACCATCAGTAATCGCGTCGTCATGGATAAAAGCTCAGCTGCGGAAGCCTGGAGAGATGCTGTTTTTGCTTCAGTGGATGGCTCACCCTTGCGAAATGTGGTCACGTCACCTTCCGCTCACCACTACCTGAGGGACCCCACCAGGATTTTTCCACGTCTTTTCATACGGGGTGTCCAACTACGGGGGGGGGGTGTTCTTTCTAGCAAAACGCGACGGAGCAGAGGCAGATCTACAAATGACCCGGCTACTCTCAACTGCCGCGGGAGCTGCGGACAAAAAGAGACTTTGTCACATGTTCTTCAGGCGTGCTGCATCACGCATGATGTCCGCTGTAAACGTCACAATGAAATTGCCCAACAGCTTGCCAGGCAATTGCGGCGCCGAAGCATTAACATTGTTATGGAGCCGAGGATTCCGACAGCCACCTCCTTCATCAAGCCAGACCTGCTTGCGGTTAGAAATTCTACGGTTCACATTGTGGACGTGGCTATCTGTGACGCGTACCGAATGGATTGTACTTATAAACTGAAAGTGGATAAATACGGATCAGGGGAGAATGCCGCAGCCATATCGCGATACATACGTGAACAGTTTCCTGAGACGACAAATATTGTTCACCATGCCGTCGTTATCAATAATCGAGGGATGATATATTCCACCTCAGCCAAACATCTTACCGCACTCGGGATGACATCAATTGATATTTCTGACCTCTGTGTTTCTATTCTTCGTCTGACTCTGAAGGTCTACGACACCTACATGCGTAGTGCATTATCACGCCTTACATAACACGCGCCCAATCTCACACGGTGACAATTGACGCGGTTCCGACCACTGTTTGAAGATTTTTTATTTTAATCAGTGTTTCCTATTCTGCCGCGACATTCGTCCTCTCTTGGCATATTGCTGTACAGCTCATCCCTCGAGCCATGCATGCAAATGTCAAAAATAAATGTTAATGGCATCAACTTGCTGAGTTGTGTGGACAAGGTGATTGCCCGAATCCTGCTCAACTGCCTCGTCAGTCAGGTTGTGGAACCAAACGTGGCGGAAGAGCAATGTGGATTCCGTTCGGGTCGCAGCACTATAGATATGGTGTTTGCGGCTCGTCAGTTGCAAGAGAAGTGCAGAGAACGACACCAGCCATTGTACTCGCTTTTTGTTGATTCCACCAAGGCATTTGATACGGTGAACCGCGAGGCACTGTGGCTGGTGTTGGGTAAGTTTGGTTGTCCGCGTAAGTTTGTAAGTTTAATTGGATGTCTTCACAGTGGTATGCGAGGGAGGGTGCAGCTGAGTGGAGAGACCTCTGATGACTTTACAGTTGTCTCTGGTGTGAAGCAAGGCTGTGTCTTAGCTTCTGCCCTGTTTAATATATATCTTCATGCAATGTTGTCTTGTGCTTTTGATGCGGCTTGTGCTTACGGTGTTCGTGTGGAGCACCGTATTGATGGTGGGTTGCTGAACTTCCGTCGTTTCGGTGAGAGAACTCTAGTCTGTGAGACAACTATCCGTATGTTGCTGTTTGCTGACGACTGTGCATTGTTTTCACACAGCGCGGATGAGTTGCAGCACATGACTAGTGCTCTGGTTCGACAGTGGCCAAATTCGGGCTCACCATCAACACAAGCAAAACTGTCTGTCTGTTTCAGCCTTCATCGGAGGTGCAATCTTCAATCACCATTGGTGCCGAAGTATTGGAAACCACCTCCCGCTTCTGCTACCTTGGGAGTGTGATGTCGACTGATCAGCAGATACACAGTGAGCTTCGTATCCGCGTGTCGAAGGCAGCGGCGACATTCAGGAAGCTTAAGTACCGAGTGTGGAACAACCATCAGCTTACCATTGGCACGAAGCTGATGGTGTACAAATCCATGGTGCTGTCCGTTCTTCTATACAGCAGTGAAACGTGGACGATGTACCGTCGGGATGTGCGATATCTCGAGCGGTTCCATCAGCGGTGTTTGCGACGGATTTTGCGCCTCGGTTGAGGCGACAGAGTTGCTGACACGGAAGTGTTGCGCCGTAGTGGAATGTATGCAGTGGACTGCATACTTTTGCTGAGACAACTGAGGTGGATTGACTATGTGAGCGGTATGGATTCAACGCGGATACCGAAACAACTCTTATACAGTCAGCTGAATATTGGGAAGCGGCACGTGGGGAAACCAAGTTTACGTTACCAGGACAGGATCAAAGTGACCCTCTGACGTTCTAATCTTGATTGCAGATCATCAGAATCGAAAGCGGTTGGTCGGCATGCATGGCGCGATCTGATCACGAAGGCAGTTGCCGAGGTGCAGGAGAAGGCCCTCATGCATGCAGAGAAGAAGCGGCAAGTGCGGAAGCGGCAAGCACCGATGGGTTGTACTCCATCGACATCAAGCGCATGGTGCTATAGCACATGCGGTCGCGAGTGCCTGAGTCAGACAGGCTTAGTGAGCCATGGGCGAGGCCACTCGGGTCTACTACTGAAGTGACGACCGGTCCTGCAGAGGACGAAGGCAGAACCGGCGCTGCGATTTTACGTACGCTGCATTCGATTTACTAACCGCGTGCTTGCATGCTAAGTCTCTAGTTCAGGTGGTGAGTTTACAATTTTATCCCAATGCTTTTCTTTCTCAAATAAATGTCTACCTGTACTCTCTTCTATAAAACTGCACAACTCGCTTAAGCCAATTGTAGATAATTTCGATAACATTTTCGCGTTTGTGTCATTTCCGGAAAATATACCTTCTGACCCCCTGAACATATCTCGGATCCTTTGTTAGCAACTTAGCTCATATACTCATTAATGTAATATTTATGTCACGGTTTCTTTATGCATTACTCGATTTCTTTTCTTTGTTAGCTCTCTCTCAAGTGATTGGCTGTTGCATGATATCCCCGGTGTGGCTGCGCTTGATGTGCATGTTCACAAGGTGCCTACCTGTCTATTACCCACTACCTCGTCCATACTGGCTCCAGGAGACACTTGGTCGTTGCTGGAGGGGACGGGGTGCACGGTCCTTGTGGCCGTGTTAGGATCAAAGAGTGGTTCCAAGCACTCAGTGTGGAGCGGACTACAGTCTAGCCACCACCTTGTGTGTGCTTGATTCCTCAAATACAGCGTGCTTGTGTTTGCCTGTGAAGGAGTGTGGGCCGACTCCGTTGATGAAACGTGGCTCCTAACCACATGCCTCCCGGTCTTATTCCTTCGGGTTTAAACTGGATATGGGGTGTGTGGTTGGAGCTGTGGGTGGCGCAGCCAAGCCACCCATGGTCCCTCTGTAGGCGCAGGCGTCCTGTGGCTGGCCACAATGATAGGCAAATCCGAAACCAGATGCCGCCAACCATACTTGGGTGTTCAAAAACACTGTCTCCATTGTATCTAGTGATGCTCGTTCCGCCAAACTAATTTATGGCTTCACTGGATCCCACACCCGAAACTGTTGATCAAAGTATACCAGATGAGTTAGAGGAAACCAGTACACAAACAAATGCTGAGTGTAGATCATTAAACTTGGAGGAAGGTGAATTTATTTGCTTCAGTGGACGATGGAAAGCGAAGTAATAATGAGAAGCACATGAGCGATTAAAAGTAGAAAGCTGAGGAGAACTCAGAATGAGATAAAAATGAATTACCCTTGGGATGAAACGCCAACATTGACAGTCCGAGTTCTAAGCTTTGGCCGAAATCACCTTCATCACAGGCGAACTGAGCGAAAGTGACGAGTTCATCCACAGCTTCCAATTTAGACAGTCGGTTTTCATCCGTATCAGCACCAACCACGTGTTGTAGAATCGATGATAGTTTAGCTAAAATAGAAGTTAAAGAGTAATATGGTGAGCTCAGAGAACATAATAACCGGCGGAATTAATTAATGAAATAAACTCGGTTAAAAATAATGAAAAAGCCGGTGGACACAAGAACACGAAAAAACTGCGAATCAGGTCAATAGGTAAGGTCACAAACTAAGTCAGTTTTACTGTACCCAAATGCAACAGAGGAAGACTGAGGCGAACTATGACGTTCGAGTACGATTTTAGAGGATAATTCGGAGTTAACATTTTGGGTTAATATTGGTGAATGGTCACTTTATCGGCGTGCCGACAGCAATTGTTACATAAGCATACGAGTTGAGCAAGCTAATTGGACGGTATCTCGGATATACATTTGCCATGTCACCATCGGTTACAAGTGGCAGTCGTCTCCAACGCTGGGCAACTGTTCTACTTGGTTACGATTTCGTCGGCAAATATCAATCTACACACAACATTGGTCAAACAAATGCGTTATCCCGTTTAATTGGTACACAGCATCAAGAACCAGAGGATTTGGTAGTTGCTCAAATCTCCGTAGAACCCCAAGTACATTAAGTCGTGTCTGACATTTTCGGTGCCTTACCAGTAACGTTCAAAATGGTGCAGGAAGCGACCCATCATGATTCTACCCTACAACAAGTGATCGATTTCAACCTCAATGGCTGGCCTAAGAGAGTTACAACGCCGGAGCCTCAACAATTCCACCAACGGAAGGAAGCACTATCAGTCTTTAGAAATTGCCTGCTGTTCTCAGATCGCGTCGTCATTCCTCTCATCCTTCAAGACAGAGTCCTCCGACAATTTCATACTGACCACCCAGGAATGAATCGCAAGAAATCGCTGGTACGAAGCCATGTGTACTGGCCCTATATGGATTCCCAGATCGAGAATTTAACCAAGAATTGTCCCCGATGTGCCAGTGTATCTAAACAACCAACGAAGACGGAATTGTAATCGTGGCCAATACCAACGGAACCGTGGTCAAGGGTACACGTCAACTTTGCGGATTCAATTGACGGTCATCATTTTCTCATCGTTGTCGATGCCCACAGTAAGTGGCCAGAGGTGATTCCAATGGTGAGAACCACCGCAGCATCCACTGTTTCCACTCTCCGACAAATATTTTCGCGTTTCGGCGTTCCCCACACGTTGATTTCGGACATTGGTACACAATTTACCTCATCTGAATTTGTCGTCTTCTGTCGCAGAAACGCGATCGTCCATGTGAGGTCTCCACCTTTCCACCCACAATCGAACGGGCAAGCGGAACGCTTTGTGGATACACTCAAAAGAGCTTTGCTAAAAATGAAGGGGAAAGGTACATTGGAGGAGATTCTTGACACATTTCTGCCGACGTCTCGCACAACTCCGAATCCCCAGACACCGAACGCACTATCTCCGGCTGAAACTTTGTTTCAAAGGAAAATCCGTGTGCCGCATGATGCCCTCAGGCCTAGGAAGGATCAGTTACTGTCCCGCAACTATCAGATGGAGCGACAATTCAACATCCGACACGGTGCTCGGAAGCGAAGCTTTAATGTTGGTCAACAAGTTCTGGCAAGAGATTATCGCATTTACTATCCTAAATGGGCTATGGGCCATGTGCTATACAAACGTGGTAACATGATCTACGGTATCCAGGTTGGGACGGCAATTTGGGTAAGACATGCCAATTAGCTGCTAGAGGCACGGACTGGCGAACAACTGCAACAACGAGTACCAGCAGCGCAGTTACCACTGGACATACTGGCCGACGCGGGTGAAGCGAAGACTCCCCAACATGCCCCAACACAGCAAGCACAACATTCGCCCCGAAACCTAGCAGCACAGAGACCGAAGCGGCAACGCAAATTCGTGTCAACCATGCAAGTCAACCCCAAGCTGAAATCGTACAACACAACTCAAAGGGGGGAAGTGTTAGGAAGGAATACGCGAGTCGAACAAGCCAGGACCCCATCGCCGCGGCCGGCGATCCAAACTCATCCGCCCTGATTGGGGCGAACAGCGAGCCGACCAGGAGAAGCGGCCAATGAACGCTAGGTCGAAGTTCCTTTATTGGCTGTAACTTAACCTTTCCAGAGCTTTCCACGGTGGCTTTAAATACTATTCACGAACTTTCCATTTTACCTTTACAATGAACGGTGTGGTCTCCTAATTCATCTCTGTTACTCTGCTCGTCCGATCCGGTCTTCTCTCTGTTCTCTGGGGGACCAGCGATTTCGGGTTTGAATGGGAATCAAGCGTCCATTCAGGCGAGGGACGAACACTTCATAGACCAACAGAAAGAAGAGGTGGACACGTCAGTATACAAACATCAGAAGTTTTGTACCGCTTAAATACAAGCGTAACTTAGAATATTGTCTCACCACAAAGGCGCAAAAGATATGCTCAAAGGACGCCTAGGAGGATGAGATGGATTCCATCAAGAGAACGTTGCACGAAAATGGTTGTCCGGAAAGATTCATTCAGCGTAACATACAACTCAAAATAGCACCGGTCATTGAGTAAATAGTCGAGAAAACGGCCCACTTCATCTGCCTTGATTTTAAAGGTGATACAGTTAGTGAGCTTCTAACAAGAAAACTGGCGCAGTCGATAAGGAACACCGTTCTGGCTTCGGAATTACGATGCATCTTCGTCAGGAGCCAGCTAATTCCTGTGTGCAAAAAGGACAGACTGCTGAAGCTGACCTCTTCTTACATTATCTATCGATTTGAGTGCATTTGTGGGTCAACACATATTGGTCGGATGGCTCGTCAATTGTCAAGTCGCATTAAGGAACATAGCCTTAAGTGGTTTGTGAACGGGGGCACCGGAGTTCTTACAAGCGGTATTTTATCTCATCTTTTCGAATCAGGTCACCGACTTAACCTCCCGAATGCCTTTACAGTGATTTATCAGGTTCCAATGAGCAAATCGAAAGGTACGCGGTTAAGGATGCTTGCCACTGCAGTGGCTATTGCCACCCGCATATTCCAGCCCCCACTGTGCTCGCAAAAAGGTTTGCTTACTCTCCATACCCGCCCTGACCGAACTGCCATCAGCCTAGCCGTCACGCTGACATCAGCTCAGGCATTGTGAGTACGTAACCCTAAATCGATCTGTGTACATGTGACAGTGGCGAACTATTCGATGTCTAACCGTTGACCGATTTATTTCAGAACAAACCTCCGAACCAATCGCTATCCATTCTTTTGTAGTTTAACCTTATATGATTGTACGGGCCCGTAGATGAATCATTGAAAATAACCGTTTTCCTCAGACTGGTTTTCTTGATGAATCTCTGAGAACCAATCGCTGAGAGCAACGGAATGCCGTGGTAATTAACACAATACTCGCGGGAGTTATGCTTGTGGATCAGGACTATGATCTATACTCCCTCTGACCCTGGAAGCTTCTGGTCAATCCAAACAATCGTTAACGGCGATAGGATTGCGCTGACGGGTGCATCCCGCCATGTTTTAATGAAGCTGAGGGTAGGCTGTCTGAGACGGGGGCTTTAGGACGCTTCAAGGATTAGACTGCGCTAAGAATTTTGTACTGCAGGATGTGGCAAATTGCATACGTTCATACGGTTTTGTTTGGACCTTGGAGAACCGGCGAAGTGCATGCAAACTGTCGTGCACACCAATACCTGATCGGTTTCCATATAAGCTAATCAGTGTGATCAACAATCGCGTACGCTTCTACGCTACCTTCGACTTATGGTTATGTGGTCAGTTTGAGACCAACGTTAGGCTGATGATACAGGACGCAAGGTGGCGTAATATCGCATGGGGTGACAAAAGCTCGTACTGGAGATCGCCACACAGACTGGGCAAATTTTCTAAATGATCAGAGCGAACATTATCATATCCGTGTGATCCATTGAAGCGGCATTCAGATGGAAGCAACCGACCAACTCGTAAATTGAAATCTCTTGCCATAATGATGATGTCCCTTTTAGGTGCCTTTTTAGGAGCTGATCATGAAGACTTTGAAAGAACTAATGCTTGACTGCATCGGACCTGCAGTCAATGGGGGCATAGGCGGAGATGGCAAAAAGAGCACGCTTATCGGCTCGATGCCTGCTAATCTTGCAGGAGCCAAGGAAAATAGTAGCACAGAGACGACTGTTGATAGGAATGCACTCAAGGAGGGTAGGCTTGGCCCTAGCACTGAGCGCAATGCCAACACCAGCTTGCCAGATGTGGCAGACCCAGCGTCACAGGAAAGGCGGAGATGAAAACGGGTGTGGGTGGTGGATTAGTGACAATAGTTGGCAGAATGTGTTTGAATCCTGAAGTCGTGTCTCAGTCAGGCAGCAGACATCAACTGCAAGAGCTTTCCAGTTGCGTACCAGTCCCCTTTATTGTCCGATCTGCAGAAGAGTGGGCACATTTAGTGTTGCTAGCTTGAACCGAGTTCTGCATTGCAGAAGCGATGATGGCTGGACCTTACCATGGTGCGATGGTTTGTGTGCCTCAGCGATCCATTGAGTTATGCTGGGTGGTGCTTTTCGCACCTTCAGAGCCAGTCATACCTGATTGGTCAATGGTTAGAGGCCAGACAATCTCAGTCTCCTGGCCCTCCAGGTCGGGGGTTAAAATGAAGGCTCCTTATTCCTTAAAAGGGACGCTTCGTAGTCCACTGCTAAACCAACTGCCTTGCCGTCAGGTTTTTGAACCAAGGGCTTTGGTTGAGAACCCTAATCGTTAACTTATCTAGACCTGGGAAACCTGACAGTATTCTGCCCCCATAATACCATGAATCTTTTCTCATCCAAGCAAGCGGGAACCCAGCCTCCTCTATGTTCGAAAGAGTTTACCTGCCCACCGACCACAGGCTCTCCGAAACGAATGTCAACACGTTGCTGGAGCCCTAGTTGGCGTGTCTCTGCAGTCACAAAGAGCCGGGACGCCGCGCAAGCCCACAAAACGGGCGAAATGCTCCATACGGAGGAGCTACGTGAATTCACCAAAGCCAGAGGAAACACAGCCACCTCTATGTTCGAACGAGTCCACCTGCCCACCGACTGCAGGCTCTCTAGAGCGATGTCCACCAGTTGCTAGAGCCTCAGCTGGCGTTTCTGTATTGTGTCCTACGGACACTAATATACCGGTGTGCGATAGCGCAGGAGATGAAGACCAATGGAGAATGCAGCGAAGCGATATGGAGAAGACCACTGACAACAATCAGCGGCGTTGTAGCCTTAGGATATTTCACGCGCCTGAGTCAATAGATGCTAGTCCTCAGGCCCGTTATGACCACAACGTGGATTTTCTGCAGAGCCTCATTGATGGGCTTCGCGACGTAAACGAATATGGTTTGCGGGTGAAGCAAATCACCCGTCTTGTAAAGAGAGAGGAGAGGAAGTCCCGACCTCAGGGAATCATGCTTTTTGATGAAACGAACCCGAGCCTGATACTATCCCGCCTCGGTAAGCTAACAGGTTTGAAGATCCATATTCATCCCGATTTGAATCCGTCAAAGATAGAGAGAGAAACTGAAGTCCGCTATCGTGGAGAAGCCAATCTCCACATTGTAAATCTTCGGGTAGTTGCCCGGGCCCGCCGAACGCGGATCAAGAGGTAGATGACGCTTACTGCCCATCCGTTGATTCCTACCGCGACCTGCGCGTAGCCTTCACAAATGTTTGTAGTTTAATGAACAAACGTGACGATGTATATCACTTCGTTGCCTCTCATCGTTCGGACATACTAGGACTAGCGGTAACCTGGTTAAATCCTGACGTTACTACCCGTGCTTCCGGTGCGACAGACTATCAAAAGATGGAGGCAGCGTACTGTTATACATTCGGTCCACGCTGTGCAGGAGGCTTGTACACATCTACCGCAGCGAAGAGGGCCTGTGCGAACAGTTATGGTGCTCGATCCGTCTGAGATAGGGCGAACTGTTTGTGGGTGCGACTTATCGTAGCCCGCGAAGTTAATGCCTGGATTGGTTGTTGCATGTCAGAAACTACATGAGTCGGACCCACTTCTTGCTCAAGGGCGATCCTAAATTCCCTCGAATATGGTAGCCTGAGGTTCAACTTCTCCCAGGGCACTGTAAAATCGAGGCGCAGTTTGGGAAGATGGTAATTGAAACTGAAGCAGCACATGTCAGCCAACCGAAGCGCGTCACATCGCATTCCGCTCCAGCGTGCCAGGACCTACTACTAACGAGTTGCGGGCAACGTGTATATGAAATTCAGGTCATCGAGCAACTAGCAGCTAAGGACCAGTTGATAAGGTTAGCTAGCGTAGAGCTGTCGCTGCCCTACTCGCGTCCGACGGAGCCTTCCTACAATTATTGGAAGATCGACTTCGATGGACTAAAACGGGCAGCCAGTGAAGTAGACTGGTCGCTACCGCATGATTCATCTGTTGAAGACTGTTGGTCTATTATAGAAGAGGGTGTGCAATCGTTGGATGCTCGTTTCGTACCCCTCAAGTATCGAAAAGCTGGACCAGTGAAGCTGCACTGGTTCGACAGAGAGTATAGTCAATGGGCTCGACGGCGAGGCGTATGGTGGAATAAATTCCTAGTGTCTGGCTCTGCCGACAATTATGAGGCGTACAAAAGGCAGCGAAATCTATGCGACAGCGCAAAATCGTGGGCAGTTAGAAGAGGAGCTTGCAATTTCGGCGAAAACGGTCCCCAAGACTTTTGCTTACGTGAAGCGGCGCCTGAGGCCCGCAAGTGACGTAACTGTGTTAGATGGCACTGACGGACAGTCTCTGACCTCCAGCACTGAACGTGCGTCCGCATTGGCGGAGCATTTCGCTTCCGTATTTACAATTTGGCATGCGCCTATGCCGAGCTCGACATGTGCAGTCCCTACTGAACTCGAGGGCCTGGATTGCGGTATATAAGAAGTCCGCAGTCTACTCGCCAATCTTGACGGAAGGAAATCTGCCGGACCGGATGGACTTCACCCGTTAATTTTGAAGTCCCTATCGGCCGTCATCTCGCCCGCCGTGACGGATCTGTTTAACAGATCGCTGTCCAAGGGTGCATTGCCGAGCGACTAGAAATGTTCGGTAGTGAAGCTAATTCCAAAGGGAGGTGACCAACGCAATGTGGACAATCACCGGCCGATTTATCTCACCTCTATATTGGCGAAGGTGCTCGAGAAGATAGCAAAAAAGTGTTTCTCCAACTGCTGGAGTCGAAAGATATTCTAACACTGGCACAGCACGGCTTCATGAAGGGCCACTCGTGCATCACCAACCTGCTGTCGACGCGGCAGGAGTGGTTACAAGCGCTTAACCGGAGGAAGTT